ATAGCGGTGTGTCAGGCGTATGGGTTTTCCCTCAGTGTCTACCAGGGGTGGAAGCTGGAACCAGTTTGTAAGAAGCCCTGCATGCATGTGCAGGCTGCTGCGACCATTAAGACTTATCCTAGCATGGGACAATGGGATTACAGTGTACACGGGTATTGTGTGTGTGTGTGTGTGTGTGTGTGTGTGTGTGTGCACGCAGGCATCCATGCATGCAGGCCTGTGTGAGTGTTGATGAGAAGAGTCGGAGGGAGACATCAGTGTGTGTTTGTGTATGGATTTGCGTTTGTGCGGATGGGCACACTCAGACATGAGCCAAGCCACCAGCCAGCCACATAAAAGCATGTCTCTGGGAGGTGGAATTTTAATGTGGAAATGGGAACAATGATTTCTACTTTTAAATGCGGACAAGAAGCAGAGCCCATTGAACAGCAGACCAAAAATGATGGATCAATTATTAATGCATTTACCATCAAACTGTGAGCGTGTGAGTGAGTGTGTGTGTGTGGGTGTGTGCTTGCATGCGAGCTGGTACATGTCCACGTCTGTGTGCTGTCATGTGTCCTCTGTGAGTTTGTGTTTGTCTGCTTATTCACGCGTTTGCTTCCACCCAACTTGGCATTAGTGAAATTGTTATGGCTTATTTTCAGACGCTGCATGCTTAAGATAGCCAGGAGGAACTTTCTTTGTGTGTGTGTGTGTCTGTGTGTGTGCGTAAGAGAAAGAGAAAAATTTGAAAAAAAGAGAGGACGACTGGCTCAGTGTTTTCCTCTCTGTCATAAAAGGATCCCAGTATTTTATTCAATCTCATGCACTTCATTAAACCTCCCCTCACAAAAAAAACACAAAAACTCATTTGCACGTGAAAACTTCATCGCCTGTGCAATATTAATATTTTTAATATTTATATTACATGTGAAAGAGATGTTTCACTTTAATTTAATATGTAAAATATCTGCGTGTATTCTGTCAATCTATCTACACAAATAGTGATCCACATTTGATTATTATGTAAAAAGTGCTGTATGTGTGATTAACCGTGCTATTTTATAGCTCTTACTCTTTTTTTATTTAAAGTTTAAGAAATTTTTCTCACATAAATGTGATGTTGCATAATTTCTACAGATAGAAAAATAAGCTTTCATATTAAAATAAAACATTTCAGGTGGCCTAGATGAACTAAAACTAATAAAGGTTTGGGTCTTGGTGGTGTTCGGTTCCTCTGGGATTCTTCCCTGCCCAGAGAGGTCCAGTCCCTTCAGTTCATAGTGGATTAAATGAGGCCATTCCCCCCTCCACCCCGAATGACCAGATAATTAAGAACACAGCTTGGCCTGACTGGAATCAAAGATATAAATGACAAATAAACACAGTGGAAGAGAACAAAAAGAGAGAACGAGATCAGAGGGGTCTGGGCAGAAGAGAAGTCTGAGGAGAGGAGGACCATATGGGGGGAGGGGATGGTGGGAGGGAGAGAGTGAGGAACAAGGGGACAGAAAGAGAGAGAGAGACTTCTCAGGACCCGTCTGGATCTCATTTGGAGGATAGTAATGCGATTAGCTTTGTTTAGTTTTCACAGCTCCAGCCAGTCCCCGTGAAAAATCTCAATGTGTATCTCTGTTTGTGTGTGTGTGTTGTGGTGGGTGAACGAGTAGGTGAAGTGCACATATGTGTTTGTGGGCATTCTTTTTTTGAAAAAGTCCGGATATTTTTCTTAAATGAACTCATTCTTCAAATGAAGAGAGACATTTGATGACTCTGCAGAAATACAAACACCCACTAATTCATAAACACGATTAAACGTAAAAAGCTCTTTTCTGTCTCTAATTTAGGACTTTTGGTGTCTGCTGCTCTGACGCAGACTCTAAAACACACAAAACACGGGATTCATATTAAAAACAATTTAATTCAGAGATATGTTACAGGACTAGTTGCTAATCATAATGTGTCCATCGCTCGTGTTCTTATCACTATGAGCTGTCAGTTGTCCCAGTTAAAACTACTGATAATTATAGTATGGAACAGTTATTCAGGACATTGTTTTAGTCAAGTAAAGATGTTCAAGATGCAAATGTTCAATGCTTTGAGCACCACAAACAAAATTCCATTCACCTCCAATATATTTAGGTGGCAAAGGTTCCACAGGTGGATATGTATCTCACAACCTTAGCACATAAAACTGGAACTGTGAGATACAAATGAGGCAAAATGAGATTGCTGGTTGTAACTCTGACTGTCTGCTTTAGTATGAGAAGCATCTTTATCTACTATCATGTGTAGAAAGACATTTTTAAAGCAGAATAAGAAAGCTAACAACTGGTAATTAGAGCAGAGATCCAGTAAGAATATCTTGTTATTGCTGCATTGACATGATAGTGGTGCAGACTGTTGTATAAACATGTATTAAAAGTATTGTATTATCATAATTAAGAATCAATTTGTATGTGCAAAGCGTTCACTGACAACCACAGTATTTGTAATTGACCCTTCGCTAAGCCACGCCCCGAATACAAAGTTGACCAATCACAGTGCAGTATAGGTCTCGCTGTAACTGAGGTCCGACTCGTGGATGCGCTCCATTGACTCTAATGCAAAAAGAGTCATTGTCTAGCTTTTTTTGGCTGTATTTTGCTAAGATATGGTCAAACGCTGTTCCTGGGGCACTTGTCGCTACCCAGAGAGGTTGATAAGAGAAGTACGATTTATTCTCATAATGTAGTTGTTGTAATAATGAATAGGGCCTACCCAGATTTACAGGAACAGTGTTGATCGTTCATATCGTTGTCTTTTGTCTTAGTTGTCGGGGGATACGGTGGCTCACTTGTACTGTGTGATTGGTAGGCTTTAGCGTCTATCTTTCATTTTTTTCACGTCCATTTGAGTCAGTTTGACAGCCTGAATACAACCTTCAAATGTATAAAGCAACTGCAAAACTCTCTGCTTCTTTGTGAGATCAATTTTTCCAACAAATTTGACAATATTTCTCCGTGGAGTGCAATAACAGACAGTGGCAGCACTGACAGTTTATCGGACTTAGCAGCAGTAACTAAGGGGGGGCGGGGCTTAGCGAAGGGTCAATTGGATTTCCCACCATGTTGGCTCTTGCAACTAGTGATGTGCGATACCACTTAATTCCTATCCGATCCAATACCAAGTAATACCCAGGGTGGTACTGCCGATACCAATACCAATACTTTTTACATATTTTATTTGACCTCCCTCTCCCGTTTCTGTATTTATGAGAGAAATAAGGAGTAGGCTGTAGCCTTACCAATTCAAAATAATAGCTGCATAATGACAAGACATCAAACTACTGTCATATTCTTTAATTATAATGAAAATATCCTGCTCAGAACTGCCGCTTCATAACATCATCATATTATTTTGACTTAATCTCAGATGTTTAGTAAAGTTTGCGGTGTTGCCAAAGTATTTCACTGTCCTTGCACACATATCACACAGAGCAATATTATTACCTTCACAGCTAAAATACAGCCAGACGAGACTGTTTTTACGGTCAGCCAGAGTCAGTATTCAATTGCGGGAAATGTAAAGGGCTGCAGAGGCTCACTTCAAAGAAGCTCCATCACAGAGCCGTAGCGCAAGCATGACTTTGACAGGCGGAAGGAAAAGTAGTTCCTATCAACCGAGTAGCCTATAATTAGACCATCCTGGTGACAGTAAGATACTTATGATAAAACACACACTCAGTCCAAATGACTGAGTTTAGATATCAATCCTTTTATATGAGTATCAATCCTAGAGCAAGAAATATCAATACTTTAGGATTGATCCACACATCACTACTGCACAACACAATTCTCACTCGCAGCGAATAAAGCAATACTTCTTATGGTTAGGTTCAGGTACTCGCAGCACCTGGTTAATTTTCAGGAAACATCGTGGTCTTGATTAAATATTGAACAAGTCAAAGTGATATGAAGCATAAGTCAGGAAGTGTTTACTTAACTCCTAACCAGGATCTTTCACTCATCCTAACCAAAATGCTGTTGTTGCTTTAACCTGACCATAAGCAGGACTCAGGATGTGAGCCCGACTCTTTAGTGCCAAAGTTCTGCACTCTGTACACCCACCATCCTCTCTGACCACCCACAGACACTGTGCAGTACAGAGTCAGTCTTCCATTCAAAAAAACTTAATATCTTAGAGATGGGTTCGAACATGTACGTAAAACCACCGGTATGGTCCTTTAATAATAAAATGTGTTTCATTGCCTTTGCACTTGTCAAAGCACTTTATAACTTGTTTTTGAAAAAAAGTGCTCTATAAATAAAGATAATAATAATAATTATTATTATAAAACTTGTTATAAATCAGTTCAAGCTCACCTTTTTAGTATTAGATGCAGTGAAGAATATAAAACACACTCCTATAATATATTACGTTTTCTTTCTAATACTAATATGAGAAAGCCTGCGATTAATATGGCAAAGGGAATATTTATGTCATAATGTGATCTCAAAGTACTATTTTACACCCCTCAAATTGTTTTTAAAATGGGCCTAACCCAAACCCACATTTCTATGTTTTGTGCAGGATTATCCCTTGGTGTTGCCTTTATGGAAAGTTGTACTAAAAAAACAGAATAGTGGCTCAAACAACCTGGAACAGATCCCCCACTAATGTGTCTCTTAGAAGATAAATCTCTCGTGCCACCAAACTTACTAAACAGGTTTTATTGTAGCAACCAGGCTTATTTTACTTAAGTGCCCACATAGACCAGTGTACAGAGAAGAATAAACTCATGACAGAGATTGCCTCTGGAAAATGTATTTAAATTTAAATAAATGTTCTGACATACATTAAGGGTGCAACATCTTAGAGAGGGCATGATGTACTAGTTAAAAGAATTTAAAGAAATATTGGACTAATTCTTTCTTCCTTTTTTTTTCCTCTATGTCCCATTTGTACTCTGTATTTTTTGTATAATGTCAAAATGAATAAAACCTGAATAAAACAGAAATCTTTCACTGTCTGACCAGGCATCATCAAGGTGGGAAGGTGGAACCCGCTGCCCATCCACTTCCTGACTGACGCACCAGAAGCTACAGTTGCTGACATGCTAATGGAGGTCTACCACATGGTCACACTACGCATCCAGCTACAAAGGTCAGAAGTCAAAGGTCACCGTTTTAAAGACATGTTTGGAAACAAAATTCCTTCATTAAATTTCACATTTCAGAAAGTGAAAGTAGAGATGTTTACATTTTAAATCAGTGACTTTCCACCAACCTCGCTCCCCCAACATTTAAAAGACATCATGTCCATTTTTTATGGACACAGTGAGGCTTTTAAAACCATACACACTGTGAATCAGACACTGATGTCATTGCAGCTGATTGCAGCTCAAGAATTTACCATATCTATCAAATTTGAAAGCAGCAATATTGAAACACTAAAGTTTCAGTTAACCAACACTGTGGGGATTTATCTATTATCTGTCTCCGTCAGGGAGAGTCAGTGTGCCAAGAATTCCTAGTTCCCTCGAATAAGTGAAGCAGGATCTTGATGGACTGATAAAAACAGATAAACTCCAGATGAGATGGTTATTATTGTTATTGTCTTGGCACATACCAGCCAGGTTTGTTTGCGTGTTTATGTGTGTATCCATGGCAATGGCAGAGCTTTGGCACACTTTGTGCTCAGTGCCGAAAAGATTTATTTGCGGTTAAAATTAAATAACAACAGGAAGATTACGGGAAGATAGGTCTATGCAGGAAGTAGTGGTTTGAGGTGGAGGTTAATACAGGACGTTTGAAAGGTCAACGGGATCAGAGGTTAATTTAGGGTATAGGATATAGGTGTTTATTTATTGTAAAGTTGTTTGATTTCTTGGGATGTAACTATAGTAGGAGATTATAACTGGAGTAATAAAGTATTAAAAACCATCATTTTTTGTTTTTAAACTTCTGTTACCTGTGGACAAAACCAGGCTAGCTGTTTTCCCTTGTTTCCAGTCTTTATGCTAAGCTAAGCTAACAGGTTGCTGGCTGTACCTTCATATTTATTGTGCAGAATGAGAGAGGTGTCGATTTTCTCGTCTAACCCTTTGCAAAGAAAAATGTATTTTGCCAAAATGTCAAACTATTCCTTTAACTGTTTAATGTATGCGGTGCAGTGGCTATCAAAAAGATCCCGTATAATACTGTAAAATGATTTTTTGTTTGTTTTTATGGTTTGTCCTTTTGTGTTTGAACGTATTAACCTAAAGATGTATCTGACTCCTGTGTGTGTGGTTTCGGCTTGTTGTAGTTTTTCAAAGCTGGAGGATCTGCCCTGCGAACAGTGGAACCACGCGACTGTCAGGAACGCTCTCAAAGAGCTGCTGAAGGAAATGAACCAAAGTACTCTGGCCAAAGAGTGCCCTCTCTCACAGGTAACATCTGGCTACTACTACACAGCAACAAAAACAAGTCGTACCTCGTGTTCCTCATCCTCACCTTCACATGAGAATCAAATGGTCCTCATCAGAGAACTGCTCATCAATTCAATAATCTTAACATCCGCTTTTTAAACCATCAAGTGTCAGTCTCTTTCACTGACTAGACCTTCACATGCCCTACCTAATGACTAAAGTCAGTTTCAATTTGAGGTTTAGGATTAATCATACATTGTATTGATTATTGCCACATTTGAATCAAACTCCACCCCACAAAACGAAGCACTGTCTCCACAATCATGTTAAACTCCCCAGAGGCATGTTTAGCGCTCTATCCTGGTCTCATAATGACTGCTGTGTGTGAGAGTTGTGTGTATGTGTGTGGGTGTGTGTGCATGCATACTGTGTTTAAATGGAGCTCTGGTGGGGGTGTTGAGCACAGCATCAATTGCAAGCATATGTGTGTGTGTGGCTGGAGATTCCCTCTCTGCACTGTACTGGCTTGAGTTACCATGGGTGGCTTCCAATCATGATTAATGTTTGTCTGTTTCTATTGTGTGTGTGTGTGTGTGTGTGTGTGTGTGTGTGTTTATGTGAGCATGCCATGTGGTTGTTGCCTGAGGATAAGCATTTCATATTATGTTGCTTATTAATTATCTTTCCCCTCTCTTTCTCTCACAGAGTATGATTTCCTCCATAGTGAATAGTTCCTACTATGCCAATGTCTCCACCGCCAAATGCCAAGAGTTTGGTCGTTGGTACAAGAAGTATAAGAAAATCAAAGGTGAGACAGTGGCCCAACTTCCTTCAATGTTCTTACAGTTGAACCAACAAGGGCTTGCAAGATGATTACTGGGGTGGGAATGAAAAGATCATTTTGGGACTTTTTTTTTTAGCTTTTTAACCAGTTTTACCTTCTGAAGAGTATACAAATAAAACAATCTAAGAGAAAATACTAACTCTTAAGACAGATTTATAATTGTACGTTAAGAGTTATTGCATAGCTACACAACACCATAGATAATGTGTACCTCATTGAGAAGTAAAAAAGTTGTAGAAATAATAATTACAATAAAAATAATTTACAGTGGAAGTCAATAATAAATTAGATGATCATAACATTTCAAAAATATGCATCAATGTTCAACACAAGCCATCAAAAGATCAAGTGGAACAATCAGTTCAAACATCTACAGCCAGATGTGATTGCCTCCAAATCATTTAAAATTACTTTAAATGCATCCAGTGAGACCAGCTCCCGAAGATTCAGTCAATTGATGATGATTCCAAGAAGAGGGAACAGCATACATAAACACCCCTTTTCCCAATTCAGTACAGACTTTATGGACAGATAGTAGGAATAAGTCCCAGGAGCGAGGACAATATATTCCCGTACTTTTATCCTGGATACTCATAGAACTGTAGTTAAGATGAATGCAGACTAACAGCACTAATAAGAATAGCCATATAAATAAAAACATGCCAGTGATTAAGTCTACAGGTGGACAATGCAGACCATCTAAGTGAGATAACACAACCTGGGATTGGTCAGCTTTAACTGCTTGTGTTTTCTCCCTCAAGCTTCTGATGCCAGTGGCAAAGTTGATAGTGAAAACAACATTAGGAAGTTAAGGATGGTTCAGTATTGTTCTGCTTCGCTGTAAAAGACATCTCTACTGCAAATGAAAGTAAACACTGCGATTGCATGACAGCAGTCTCCTATTCAGTGAAGAGAGAAGGAGGTGTGTACGCAGCCTGACGTCGCTCTGAATCGTAAAAGTAAATAAAAGAACGTAAACACATTTAACTAGGGTAATATAATTCTAGATTTGTATAGTTCACATATGCTGCACTCATCTATGACCCCTTGCATCAAGTATAAATCCAGCTTCAGACATGCAGCTTGTGATGAAGGGTAGTAAAGAATGAAGGGAGTAAACATGGTTTTGTTTAAAAGGTTGACCAATGTCAATGTCGTCTGGAGTAGACAGTTTTACAATGACTCTGATCAGTTGAGATATTCAGCAATATGCTCCTGTGACTTGTCTCCTGTAACAAATCATCTGTAACGACTTTCTTCCCACCAAACTTGTCAAGATCATCGCATCGACCACTTGAGCCTGAACCACTCGTAGGAAGCTAAACTATAATCATCACATTAAACACTAAGCCTGAGCGGAAAGGGGGATTTTGGAAGAGAGAAAATGAGAGAGGATGATAGCAAAGCCTGGTACTGACAGAGGGAGGAGTGTCGGGTTTAACTTGGTAATTTCACCATCAGATCTGTTCTTCACCTAGAAGTAGGACACACTCTGTCTCAGATGTCAATACACACATAGAGCTCTCTGATAGGTTGCAACACATGTCAGTCATAAGTAGAAGCTCCGGGGGATAGATGTAAGCTGTCATCCTAGCATGTAAACTCCCTCAACAGGGGTTTTTCCATTTCCTTTTTATATAAATCTGTTTTGGTTTTGTGTGTCAAAGTTAAAAAAGCAGTTGCCAAAATCAGTCTCAACTCAAGGTCACTCCATCAGCAGATGTTCAATTTTCCATTTTTCTGCTCACCTCAGGGACTTCTTGTTCATATTGTCTTAAAAGTTAGGATTCAAAGTTCATTCTGTTCATTATATGGACCTTGAGGTGAGATTGTTGTTGTTTTGGTCATGCAGCACGTATCAGCAACGTCAAGACCTTCACTTCTGACTGTTTTCTTTATTTGTCTCGTTGAGCAGTAGACTATCTGGAGAAGATGTGGTCTGGACGAGATGCTACTGAAATCAAAAGTAAGAAACGGTTCACTCTTTCTGGCGCTGTGCTAATGTGAAGGTGTTTGTTTGACCACGCTGACTGTCTCGTCTCCTCTCCAGTAGAGAGAGACAACATGGCAGACTTCTGTGTGCTGGGTCAGAGACCTCCTCCTCACTTGACCGGCCTGGCCCAGCTCAGTCACCTGGGGGCCGGCAGTCCCCTCCTCAAGGTGGCATCCGGAGATCCGCAGGCGCCCTCCCAACCACCTCCCCCCCCTCCCCAACAACAGCCTTCACCCCATGGCCCCCTCCACCACAGCCCTCCTCTCCGTACGGGCCAGGTGCCTCCTCCGCCACCACCACCCCCGCCTGGAGCCCTGCAACCCTTGCTGGGGCCAGGTGGGCTGCTCTCCCCCCAACTCTCCCCACAGCTGGTGCGTCAACAGCTCGCCATGGCTCACCTCATCAATCAGCAACTAGCCGTTAGCCGCCTGCTAGCCCATCAGCACCCCCAGGCCCTCAACCAGCAGTTCCTCAACCACCCGCCCATCCCTCGGGGTTCATCCAAAGTTGGCGGCGACCATCCCGGGAGCAACCCCTCGGCCGCTGAGGTCTCCTCTGAAATCTACCAGCAGGTCAGAGACGAGCTGAAGAGAGCTAGTGTCTCCCAGGCCGTGTTCGCCCGTGTGGCTTTCAACCGCACACAGGTAGGAAAACAGGACAGACTGTGGTCAAGAAGGTTAGGAGACAGTTGGGAAAGTGTGGTGGTAAAATGGTCAGAGGAAGAGGAAGAGCAAGGTGATGCGTCAAGGACAGGAGAGGATAGCTTCAGATGAAGATGGAGAAAATCAGAAAATGAATATATTGCATCCTGTGGTTGCCATTATATCGGCCGAGACCAAGCTATCCGATCCCTACTGCTTATAGAGCTACATTTTCTCAGACTAAACGGTTCATAGTTCTTGTTCAACATACAGTATCAGGTGAGAGGGGATAATCGTCACATTTGATAGAAATAAATGGAAATAGACGCCAGTGATAGACTGTAATATTTCACACAGCATTTGGCTAATTTTGTGGTCACCCGTCTCGTGTTATTTTCTGTGGGATTAGTGGAAGCATGGCAGGGTAGCTTGCTGGGTCATTGAGTCTCCTTCTCCGCCCTCGCAGCAGCAAAACACCTGATGCATTCAGGCTGTGCTAAACTGGTTACTACACGCCCCATTAGATCAATGTAATGGGAGGCGGCTCATAGACCTACTGGTGTAGAGGCCAGGTGTGTTTTAGTGATTTTTGCATGTGTGTGTCTCTGTGTGATGATTTTGTGAGAGTGTCCAACACAGATACTAATAATGTCAAATAATCTCAGGTTCGTCGTTTTCAGTTTTTACCAACTTTTACCAAACAATAGCATTAATTATTTTAAAATAAGCAGGTCAAAGCAGTGGTGCAACATAAGTAAATTAATTTACTCAAGTACAAACTTGTGGTACTTGTACTTTACTTAAGGATTTGGTTTTCATGTCATTTTATAGTTGTACTATTACTACATTTAAGAGGGATATATTGTACTTTTTACTCCACTACAATTATTTGACAGCATTTAACCAGGACCAGTTACTTCACACATTACATTTTCTTAACCTAAAAGAGATTTTAAGATGAGATGCTTTGCTATGAAATAAACTACCCAGAAGTATATTCAGGTTAGCTGAAACAATTAGTCGACTGACAGACAATTAATTGGCAACTATTATCTTATCTTATATATTTAAACCACTTTTCAGGCAAACATTTAATGGTTCCAGCTTCTCAAATGCGAGGATTTCCTGCATTTCCCTTTAATTATTGTCATAATTTTGAAGTTTGGGTTATTGGTTGGACACAGCAAACAATATGAAGGTGTCATTTTTGGGCTCTGGGTAATTGTGATGGCATTTCTTACTCTTTTCAGGTTTGCTTTTTACAAACAAAGCAATTTGATTCGATCAATGGAGAAAGTAATCCACATATTATGTGAGAAAGTGTAAATAAGAAGACAATGGAATACAATCCCTTTATGTAAAAAATGGTTTGCACAGCGTTTTAACAATCACAATAAAGATAAAATATCTATTTCCCAAGTCAAGCAACGGCAAAGTATCTCACATTTAGAAGAAAACATGCTTTGGGTTAATCCACTTGCATATTAGTTTGTATATTAGTGGTTTGAAGTTGGTAATTAGGGAGACTTTGTAACCTTCTGGCAAATTTAACAGTGCAAATGTGTGTCTTCATTGTGCAGGGCTTGCTGTCAGAGATCCTGCGGAAGGAGGAGGACCCCCGCACAGCCTCGCAGTCTCTGCTCGTGAATCTGAAAGCGATGCAGAACTTCCTCAACCTGCCTGAGAGCGAGAGAGACCGAATCTACCAGGAGGAAAGAGAGCGCACCATGAACCCTTCGGTTGGCCTTCCTGCCTCCAACTCCTCCAGCCCCGGTGCTCCACGCCTCTCACAGGTTAGTCTACCGTGTAGTCAGATGTGCTTACAGTGTGTTCTCACACTGAGCAATAGATGTTTCCACAACAGGATTTTTTTGTAGGAACAACAAAAGGAGCTTTCCGTGATGACTGCATGTGTAATCATAGCGATAAAAACATTTGATCGCAACATGCCATGTGTCTTGTGTGTGTGTGTGTGTGTGTGCATAGAAAGTGTGGGAGAGGAGCCTGGATGACCAGATAACCCCTGATACCTGGGCCTCCATCTGGAAGAACAAGACTAAGATCTCTAACTCGGTGAGTTATCTACAATCTACAACTTGCCCTCACAAAGTATTTTGCAGCACGTCATGTACTGTGTCTTAAAAACAAATGCTGGGATTTGAGTTTTTATCTTAAACAAATTCCATTTATAACGGAAAAACTGCTTCAAAGCTATCATGTCAGCACATTGTAAACATAAAGGACATTATACAGTATTTGAACATTTCTTTATATCTTCACATAACAATTTAACAACATCAGTGATAAGAACTTCTCTGTAATGTCAGGGCAAATGGCCATTCATGGCTCTGGCTGAATTTGTGTGCTATTCTTATTATGTCTATGTAAAATTATCTCAGCATCGTTTACACTGAGGGAATGTAAGCTAGCTGGTCTGTACATGTCTTGTGGACAACTTCAAACACTGTGTATACAAGCTTTCTGAGAGCCAATACATGTTCATTCAAACAGAAACAACAAAGAAAGACAAAAGAGAAGGACTTAATGACTTTGATCTGTAAACATAATTCATGTGGAGACGTGCACCGCAGATGTGCAGCTGATGCTCATACAGGGAACACAGCATGTCTGTTCTCAGAGCAGCTTGGCCTGATCATCAGCTGATAACCTTTCCTCATATGTATACGCAACATTTGCTTTTGTGGATAAATCTCTTAGTAGTTTAACAATATATATGAGTCCCAGATGGTTTGCCTTCATGATAATTCCTGTCATCCAAACTTATCTCATAGCTTCCCCTCGCGAAACATTAAGCCTTCAAAGTCTCTTTAATTTGTACTTACTCTGCATTACATCATGTGTTAATCCTCTGTCACAGCCAAAGCAGTCCTGCCCGGCACCTGACCTCCCGCTGAAGCTGGAGTCGCTGGTCAACATAACGTCAGGCATTTATGACGAAATTCAGCAGGAGATGAAGAGAGCCAAGGTGTCCCAAGCTCTGTTCGCAAAGGTGGCTGCCAACAAGAGCCAGGTGAGGGAATCACTGGGAAAAAGGTCATATTGCAGCTTTGCAGTCGTCAACCTGTATCACTTGTCACTTGGCTAATGATGAACAGTTCTGTATTGTTTAGTTTTTTCAGAGCTCTTCTAACATGATTTCCTGCGGCACAAGTTCAAGTTGTGATGGTTAAAATATTTTACACAAAGTTCTCCATTTATTTGTGGACTTTTTAAATTGTCATTTCACTTCAAGCGCATTAAAAATGTTACTTTGTTTGTTGGTTTAATTATTACCATTAATAAAGTTCATTAGTGTCCCAGTAAGGAACGCTAGTGAGTCAGACCACAGTTGGTGAGGCAAATGTACTTGCACACAGTTCCTGAAGCTAACTTGGCTAGCAGGCCATCAACTGTACTCAAACAATAAAAAATCCTTATCCAGCTGTGGGGCTCTAGAAACGTCACCAACTCTCAATGTTTTAGCAATGGCACCAAGTGAAGGAGGAGGATCATAAGGACAATGACATGGCTTGCACCCAGCCTTGCCAACCATGCAGCTTCTCTCCTCTGCTGCTTGTAGATACATAAACAAGGATATAAACACTTTAATATTTCCTGAAGCACATGCCAATCGCCCACATTGTGTCTAAACTTGAGGAGAGGAGACACAAGCTTGTTTCCCTCCTCAGGCTAAATGAGAGTGTGGCTGTGACAGGATGGACTACATTTGGGAGAAAACCTTAATCTTAAATATATTTTAAAAGAGAGCAAAACTCTCTTGTTGAATAGAAGCAATGAAAACACTACATCCTTTCATTATATATATATATATATATATATATATATATATATATATATATATATATATATATAAAGTTTCAGTTAATTCATTGTGGACATTCATGTGGCTATATGTAAGTGTGAGAAAGGTAGTATGTAGAGGTGTATGCTTTCTGTGTACAGTGGATGCCTGTGTGTGTGTGTGTGTGTGTGTGTGTGTGTGTGTGTGTGCGGTTAGTGAGAGGTCCCCCAGGTTGGTGGGTCTGGGGGTGGCTGAGGGTCACGCCTCAGTGCACCCATCTGCTGCAGCTGGCCACAAGGACGGAGAGAGAGGAAGAGAGAGATGATCAGGCTATTAGTGGTGCATGCTGCCCGAGGTGGCTGGTTGAACACAACAGCTGGTGTCACAAACTGAACCAGTCTAGCAGATATAATTGAATCTTCTCCATCTCTCCTTCCCCCCATCTTCCTTTCCCACATTTACCCTGCACATTTACAACTTTTACAACTTTTTGCGAAATTTATTTCTGTTCTCACGTATTTATCTGCCTGCACTTACATTTTTCTTTGCCTGTGTTTGCATTCTGTCCTTCCTGTCATGTTCATTATTATCCTTCTCCTTCACCAAGTGGCGTTGCAACTTAAGTGAAAGGTGCTGACTCCACAACTGGAGATTGGCCTATAAAACGGAACAAACAAGGATGGCACACGACGATATACTTAGGGGAAAGAAGCCCCCGCCTTAAAATATATTCATAACACAGGCTTATTGGAATAGTCTGACATTTGGGGAAATTCGGGGAAACATTTCTGGCCAAGTGTTAAAACAGAAGATCAATACCGCTGTACAGTAAATATGAAGCTACATCCAGCAGTAGGTTAGCTTAGCTTAGCATATGAACTGGAAACAGGGTGAAACACACGTTAATGTAAAGACTACATGATGTCACTGCATGGGGCTAAAGATTTATCCTGCACATAACCCCACATAAATCCACAATTTATTGTTTTTAGACGTATAACAACTTAATTGGTGACCTTTAGAGGTGCTGGCAGGTAGATGTTTTTACATTTGGCTAGCTGTTTTCAGGCCCCATTTTCTTTATGCTAAACGAAGCTAACTGGCTGCTGGCTGTAGCCTTATATCTACTGTACAGACATGAGAGTTGTAACACCCTTCTCATCTAACTCTCAGCACAAAAGCAAATAAGCATCCAAAATATGTAAGTATTCCTTTAACTGCCCAACTCCACCTCTTTCTTTAACCCCCACCTTCTTTCTCCATGTCTCTTCTACAGGGTTGGCTGTGTGAGCTGCTTCGGTGGAAGGAGAACCCCAGCCCAGAGAACCGCACTCTGTGGGAGAACCTGTGCACCATCCGGAGGTTTCTGACCCTGCAGCAGGCCGACAGAGACCTGGCATACGAGGAGGAGTCAAGACACCATCACAACGAGAGGCTGCACACCGTCCTCCACCTGCCGCAGGACACACAGGTAAGAAACCAGACATTGGGATGAGTGTTAACAACTGGTGTTAGCATGCACTCCATATCTCCATGTTCGAATGGATGGATTATATTAACACCTGGCATTAAAATCCATCTCTGGTTATGCATTGAAAACAGATTTCCCCGCACACGTCACCTCATCTCACAATATTTACATCTTTTGAAACTGACTGTAAACACCTCGTCTTGCTTCACCACCATGTACACATATCCCTTTTACCAGATCTGTTTGACCACTGTTTTCATTTTGGATCAGTGTAAAACAAACAGATTTTTCCATTAACATTGTCGTATGCAGATTGGATAATATGTTGTTGTCATCTTGTTTTCTTCTACTGATCACCTTTAGTGGTGGTATGTCATCAAATCTGCAACTATCTTAAAGAAACAGTTAGATATTTTGTTTTTTAAAATCCGTAAAAATCCCAGAGTTTAACAATGTCAATTCCCTTTTTTTTACAGAGGGGTTATGTGCCAGACTATTTCTTGGCTCTTGGTTCTTTATATAGACTGTAGGATTTCTGGCAACTGGTCCCAGTAACACATAACTCCCAGTAAAACTACAACTTGTTTGTTTTGCACTTCTAGTTTTGTACATATTAAACAAACAAGATATAACTTGTTAAGTAGTGATTTTTAGATAATTTCTTTTACATCTGGACAGGCTAGCATTTTCCCCTGTTTCCAGTCTTTGTGCTAAGCTATGCTAACCATCTGTTGTCTGTACTGCCTTATACTGAACAGACCGACATGAGAGTGGTATCAATCTTCCCATCTAAATCTCCCAGATAAAGTGAATCATTTTATTTCACCTAAATGTTGACCTATTCCTTTAAACATATCCTCTTTTTTTAACACAATTTTAACACACAGGACAGATGTTAGGTCAACAACTCCTTTATAATGAGCAGTATTCACCATCCACAAAAAAAGCATACAGTACATGTACAGACTAGAAAAGTTAGTAATAGTACAAAATTATTAGCACCAAAAGTCAAAGTCATTTAAAGTCAAAATATTTATTGCGCAAAAGGGCCAATTTTCTCATGTATGTTATATTACTAAAGTATAATTACTGACACCTGAATGTGTACATTAATTTAATGCTGCAACTGGTGAAGATGGAGTTTTTTTTCATTTCATTTCTTGTATTTGTTTATTTGACATGGACAGTGCTCATTAATTAACAGCAAAGTAACTGTAAATGAGCCAGAGTTAGCTCAACAGGCTAATTTACATATGTTGTTCCTGGCCAGTTATTAAAAGGACAACCTAAAACATATACTGCTTGGTAGCTTGTGAATTTCACCAATGGCTCCACATATTTCTGACTTTACTGTATGTTTGGTGGCTTGTTTTCATTGCTAAATCCTGCAACCAGCCTGACTGTTGTTGCTGTACATGGTGAATTTCTTGATTTAAAATTAATTATATTTATCCATAATAATACATCACAATTTATTTGTTCATTACATTTTGTATTATTAATCTGAATGTACAAAGTGACTAACATTATCAAATAAATGCAGTGGAGTAAAAAGTGCACTATTTCTCTCTGAGATGTAGTGGAGTAGAAGTATAAAATAGCAGAAAATAAGGTAAAGTAAAGTTCTTAAGTACAGTACTTGAGTAAATCTTAGTTAGTTACTTTCCACCTCTGCCTGTTATTTTTGAACATACTGTGTCATGTCAAAAAAGGATGAAACTGTGTTTCTCCACCCAGACCACACCCATCGTTATTAATTCCTTATTATATTCATTTGGTGTAAGTATGTCCCGTGCTGTTTGATCTAGTTGTGTGTGCACATGTGTTTATGTGTCCATTCGTGCCCCAGTGGAACGAAGAGTAAACAGTGTTGCTGGGTGGTGTGGCACTGGAGGAAATACCCCATTAGTTTTTGAGGAAGGAGGCTGAGGCTGAATGAGGGCTGGGGGAGATCGATGCGGGAAACACACTGACATGTTGACTTCTTCTTTCATTACTGTAACCCTCCCACTTGGACACACACACCGAACACTGTCTATCTGCCTGTCTGTCTCTCTCTTAGTCTCTTTATTACTCTTATTACTCGCTGTATAGATAATAACCTGCTTTTGATTTTAAGTAGCAGACATAAAAAAAAATTTTCACAATGTCTACATACAGAGTTTTGTTGGCTCTGTACTCCAGTACGATTCAATTCAATTCAAACAACTTTTTTTATCCCCGTAGGGCAATTTAGTTTTAGCCTACCAGTCGTATCAAACAAGACAACAATCAATCAAGCATTCAGAACAGCGGTTTTATATTTTATTCATATGACATCCCATGATATTCATCTGCAGATTAACTCTTAAGCTAACATGGAGAACAATTCCATAACAACTGGCAATCTCTATCAGCTGATGAATATCATATGGCAAGCTAGCTACTGTAGCTAACTGGCAGTGTCAAGGGGTCCTACAAATGCTTTTCTGGTCCAAGGAGTGTGGTCCTGAAAATGCAGCCTCCGGTACTGCAGCTACATACTGCTCTTTTCAGTCTTTATCTTAAGATAAGCTAACTGCCTGCTGGCTCAAGCTTAATTTAGACAGATCTGAGAGTGATATTGATCTTCTCATCATTTGCAAGTTGCAGTTTCTTTAACTATTCTTATGAATCTAATGTGCTGCGAGTCCAGAGCAAATTACATACCACATATAGTATACCATCTGCCATAAAAAAAAAAAAAAAGCAAATGTTGAAACTTACCATTGAGCATCTTGACACAAATCCTGGGTTGTCTTGTGGCTCCACCCACTCCAACTCCCCCACCAACTCTTCCCATTCAGAGCTCTGTATTAAAGGCTGATGGGAAGACGGGGAGGAAGCTGTGGTGGCACCATTAACACATTCCTCTGCTCCTCTCACACTCTCAGCAAAGACTAAAAATAAAGTTTACCCTCATAACGCCCTTGTTGTTAACCCTACCGCCACCCCTCACCCACCTCGAGAGACACAGGGAGATGAACTGTGGTGAAACACTGGTGATTTATTAATGGAGAAATGAGGTGTGTATATGTGTGTATAAATACGTGTGTGTTCGTGATGATGTCTTCAGACCCCTCCTCCGTCCCAGATGAAGCCCCAACCAACCTCAGGCTCCAGCCAGCCTGCCACCACAGACCACACATGTGTCCCATCTGCCACACATGCACATACACCATCTCACACTGACAGTTGGTAATGTGAGCACTCTTTTGTGTTGTGGACAATGAGAGGGTCTCTAAAACTGTAACAACCAACCACAGAATACACATGAAAAATGAATGTGGCACTGAGGCATAGCTGTGCAGTTAAGCCACACACCAGTGATATGTGTGTGTATTTGTGTGTGTGTCTGTTTGGACTGGACTGTATTTACAGTAGCGTGAGCCATTTCTGTATGTTGGGGGCTCTGGGAGATCTCTCTCAGGGTGCCTATTAAGTCTGCAGGTGTTGTTTGTGTGTGTCGGTGTGTGCGTGTCAGTAACCTCAGCAGCATCACATTTCTTCATGACTGACACGGTCCTGGGGCTCGCTCCGCAGCTCGGCTTTAGCAGTTAAGTGCGTCCCATAGCTAATTTGGCAGAGTCTGCCCTTATAAATAATTTCTTGATTGTTTTTGCTAAATTGATTTCTGGTGCAAGTCTAGGGGTGTTTACTTGTGTGTATGTATGACCGCTCACCGTGGCTGAGACCCCAGGAGTGGTGGACTAGAACAAGAAGTAACAACCGCCGCACCCCTCCTCCTCTCTCGTCTCACTTCAGTCCGAAGGTGCTTTGCTGGCATCACATATGAAAGGTCCTTATTGCCAAAACAGCAACAAATCGCACTGTGTCAACACCATGAAAAACTCATAAATAGATCTGGGGCAGATTTAAACAAGAGTGGGCAAAATTGGTGCGGCAGAAACTGAGGTTTTTGACTTTTACAATGCCTGTACTCCCTTATATGCGTCAACGCTGCACTTCCCATAATGCAACTCGATAGTGTCTCTTCATTAGACCCTCACTGCCTGGTAAACGCCCATGTCTTTTAAACTCCAGTCTGAAATCTTCAAGCCCAGGGCAAGATAATCCTAATGACATAATCAGGTATTACTTTCTCAGAGTTTGGTAAGTTTCCATTAGAGAAATCATACAAATGTTTACATCAGCCGAGTGGTGCTTCCCGCGATGAGTAAACTGATCTTCATGTGTAAAATCAGTGAAGTGCTCTTTAAAAGATCACATGGTTCTCTGTAGCCTGGAGACGAAGAAAAAAACAACGAACTCTTGGCAAAAAATCTTTTTAAAAATCCCAGCAATTTTACTTTAAATGTATAAACAATGTGTTATTAGTAAGACCTCAGCTTTTCCTAAGTCAAAATGTCTGCATTGAAAAAGGCCTGTTAGATTTAACATTTGTTGATTGCCTTTTATTGTGCAGGTTGCCCATTTATTCTGACTTTAGAGGTTTAATTCCGGGTCCTTGTGTCACATTGTTCCTGAGTAAGACACTGAATCCCCCAATTGCTCCCAAAAATACAAGTCACATTGGACAAAAGTGTCTGGTTTCACATTTCCACTGTACATCCAGAGTCAATTTCATATCTAGATCACTTTGTAAAGATTTAATGCACATTTATTGTGAACTAAAACCACTGGGACTTTATTATGATAAACATGGACACTCAATACAAGAGCACCAAATGTGTATTAATCCACTGCTGAAAACGGTGAGTAACATTTGCTAAAAACCACAGTGTCCACCTTTAATTTACCTAAAAAAATGTAACTTTATGTATGTGACTAATTTTCAAACATTTATGCCTTCAGTAGGAACCAATGAGCTTAACATCGACAGGGTAGGAAGTCAGAAAATGACTGTGACAGACTAGTGCACACTTGGTTTGGTCTTTTGGTTTGGATTTGTTGACTCTGGAGTTGGGCTGGACGATATAGCCAAAAATGTTATCACGATAAAAAGTTTCATATAATTATCA